CGCAAAAGAAATCGAATAAGAGTATGTTTTGTACATTGTATCATTACATATCGTTTCCTCTGACCATATCACCATCAAAACATGTACATCCAAACAGAGAAAATTATATATAAAAAAAAAAAAAAACATCCAAAACAGATCGTTTTTCATTTTGAATGTGTTGTTCATAGTCTTTATCGGTGATAATGTGATGTTTGATAATGTTGAATGATTTTTGCACGCTCTGTATCTCTTCGTTTCTCGCTGTGATTACCGCTGAGTTTATGAAGTTGTTGACAGTTCGGAGTGATCGATGTTTTGTCGGCGGTACAAACTGTATCATATTAACCACTGCATCCAATGGCAATCTGAATGTAATATCAGAGAAGGTACAATCCTTTGCATTGCAGCGCCCATACAAAGTGCCTTACGACCTCCCAAAAATTCACACGATATCATCGCAGAAAGAGCCGCTTTAATATCAACCATAGGAAATACGAAAATACAGTTATTTGTATTTGGATATATTCGAACTGCAGCAAACACATTGAAATTTCCACTGCCCTCATTGAATACATCATTAAACAGCGGAGGTGCTCAATCAACACGACAGTCCAAGCCGAGTTTAGCATCAGGCTCAAACAGTGAATATGGCTCAGAATCGAGATCGACACAGACGTCACGGTCATATTCACAATCACGGAGTGGTTCGGACTCATACAGTCAAGGCGGATCAGGATCGAGCTCATATTATTCATCAAACAGTCGGCAACACAGCGCTTTTTAAACCATTACGTAAATAATCAATTTATAGAGACTCACAAAGCAACGATCGGTGCAGATTTCGTGCTCAGTGTAAATCCAAGGCATATTTTGGAACCATATTATTTGGAAAAGCGTCCTGTTCAGTAAACCCTCCTCCATGGAGCCATTGCAATTGTTTGAAGATGGTGGATTTACCGCTACCGCCTGGACCGAGGAAGAGCACTTTGTGTATCTTGCTGTCCATTTTATCGTGCTCTGCCATTCGTTCGTTGATGATTCACAATCAGTTAAATATTAAACCAAGGGCGAAGTCCTTGCATTTCGAGCAAATCTTGAGATGTTTGTTAGAAATGATTTGCAATCAGTGAAATATTCAACCAAGGGCGAAGCCCTTGCATTTCGAGCAAATCTTGAGATGTTTGTTAGAAATGATTCACAATCAGTTAAATATTAAAACGAGCCTGTTACAATCCCGAAAGGGAATGAGCAGAAAGCCTCTCAAAACCCAAACATTGGTCAAGGGTTTAGGGGTTCCGGCGGGCCTGACTCAAGGCCGCCCATCTCTCGGCCGACCAAGTGGACCCCACCTGGCTTCAGAGTGTAAAAGGCTCGGAGGCTGGAGGTCTTTAGGGTTCAGCGTGGGGTTCAGGGTTTAGGGGTTAGGGTTTAGGGTGCAGGTTTAGGAAGGCCCGCATTTGTTATGCGCGTAGCAAGGTCGAAGATGGCGACTCAGAGGTTGAGGGTGCACAGATTGGGACCAGGAGTGACGTCAGGGGCGGGGATGCTCTTTGAGCAAGCCTACAACCCGAAAGTAACCTTAAACGAAGCCAAGCCCTAAACTTTCAAGCCCAAACAGCCAACATGGCCACAGCCCAGCGGGGCCGAAAAGGAAGCGGGGCAAACCTTTTAAATTGTGAACACAAGGGCCTGAAATCCGAAGCTCCACCAACATCACTAAGATTTCACCAATGCCGAACGCCCAAAGTTCGTAAGCCTGCGGCAGTCCCCGACACTCCAATCCTTCAGGACTTCGGTGTTTTGGGGCTCTCGGCCACTTAGTTTCTGGCCCCCTGTCCCCGACTGGGAATATAGGGTTCAGTGCTTCGGCTTTCTTGAATGCCCTCAGCTGCTTCAAGCATGTCTGTGGCGGTCTCCAGCCGGATACACCCATTTCCACAAAGAAGCCTCAAAGTCCGAGATCCCAAAGCCTATGCCTCCCAAAGCAAAAGTTGGAGTGGTCATGGACTCCCTAGGTCCAGGCTTTGAACCCTAAACCCGCCTTCTCCGGCCGCGCCAGCCGCCTGTAGGCCTGCGCACGTTGGCGCTGCTTCGGGCTTGCGGGTTCGGGGCAAGGGCTCTGCAGAGAATGGGGGTTGGGTAGCTTCAGGTGGATGCTTCTGGTGGAGCACCAAAGAAGAGGCACTCTTGGGCAGCAACTTCCAGACCCAGACAGGCTGAGGTGCGGGGGTGGGTTTCCTTCCTTCCGCCCCTTGGGTCGGCGACCTGAGCCGGAGGCTCCAACGAGCTTAAGAGCGAATCTTATGAGGTTGCGTTGCACTTTGGGATTTTCGACATGTATAAGGTGAAGCCTAGGACTTTGGGGATTTCAGGGCTTTACAGGCCTTAGAGTTCATCTAGCTTGAAGAGCAGCCTCAACATATATTGTGAGCAAACACCCCTCTACGCGATCACATCGTGGAAATCAAAGCACCTCAAGCTCTCCAAGGATTACGATCACATCGCAGGGCTGTGCAAGCAGACAACTTGGAAAAGGTCAAAGGACGGGTGTTGAGGCTCAGATTTTGGGAGGGGCAGCCTTCGAACAGATCAACAGTTGCTCGACTGATTCGGCTTTTCGTTACTTCGGATTGGGAATTTGGGGGTCCTCTTGCTTGGGGAACTCGCATCCATCCATCAAGATGGGTCTCGTGATGGGTACCGCTGAGTCTCTAGAGAAAAAACGCATCGGATGAGCCAATCTGCGGTGTCATGGGGCAGGGTGCAAAGCCATAGCGTATGCCAACAAAGCGGACTCCTGAGACTACTGACTCAAACATGTCACTGACAAGCTCTAGGCGGTACAGGGCCGATGCCCCAAAATCGAAGGACTTCAATATTCCCGAATGCTCAAGGCTCAAGCCCATGAAACCTCCAAGGCCCCAGAACAGATTCACAACAAATCCTGGACCGCCGTCCTCGGAGAGGGCGTCCAGCACACGCGAGATTGCCGCCTTTGGCTTCTTAGAGGGTGCGTAACGCTTCCCGGGTACAGGATTGTGTGGGTAAGGACCTCATTGGAGGGGCAGCTCGGTCAGAGGCTATGCAGATCACTGTTTCAGGCTGCATGTTAAGTGATGGAGTTGAGGCTTTGAAATGGCTTAGGGGCTTAGGAACTTCGGGTTTCGAGCTTGAGAACTCAGGACAAGAGGAGGCAAAGGGGCGCTCAGGGAGGACTTCAGCAGCTCTTGGGTCTTTGAAGCTCTTGAGTGGGAGCCTTTGTGATTTGCAGGCTTGTGACTCGCCGGGGGCTCAGAGGGAAGTTACTGTGGCACATTCTGATTCTGACAGCGCATTTTGCAAATCAGAGTCCGCCCACCTCCTCTTGCTGGGGAGTTTGTGTCGAGGTCCTCACCGTGGCAGAAACGAGCCGCAGGGAACAACAACAAACTCTCGACCTCTAGCCCCATCACTCAAACTCAAGTACTCAACCAACACCGCCAAAAACATCCATCAAAACCCCCAGGTGGCATAAATGCGCACAGCACGTTCAACTTTCAACCCAGACTTGCTCCAAACCACCAACCTACAACGGCCATCAACAGGTAAAGCCCAAATTGCAAGTTGCCGAAGAAAACATATCTTGCGAGAGGGAGAACTCCCACTTCCCAAGGCAGTGTCCCGGCGACCGCTGCGACGGCATTGCCCACGCCTGCACTTGGGGTCGGCACTAAGCGCTAACTCTCGAACCCCACAAACCCCAGCCCCTTGTTAGAGTGAGATTTCGAATGGTACCCATGTCATGCACCACAGTACCATCTCGCTCGACACCAGTGACCTCTGCCACTTCCCCATGTGAGCATCTCACCCGGTGCCGTTTGATGGTGTTGAAGCAAGTTGAGAGCTCCAGACTGCCTACCGACAATCGTCAGTGCAAGCACTCAGCTCTGCGTCCAACGGGCAGAAGGCACCAACAGCATCGTAAACATCACAAGGTGCACAGCCCGGCTGATCCACCACGCGGCGGTGAGATGCTGTGAGGCCGTGCTTTGAGAAAGAGCTGATGTCATCGCTGAAACCCTTTGGCCTCTGGCAGCTACGGATGAACGCACATCTCAAGGTTGAGTTCAAAAGAGCTCAAAGCTGTTGGGTGCCATGGCTAGGAGTTTCCATTGTACTTCTAGTGTGGGCAGTGTGAGAAAACGAAGGACCCCCCATAGCCTTCCCTTTTGCTGACGCAACTCGCACCGTGCGCTGTACAAGGAGGCTCCGACACGAGCCGGCTCATTCTGCAGGCAACCCTCAACTCCGAACCCTGTCAGCCCTAACCTGAATATTAACCTGATAGGAGCCACGAACCGGAACTCAGAGACGAGACACGTAGTTCGCGTAGGAAAAGCACGCGACACTTAAGATATGGAAAGGACGAAAACGCTGATTAAATAATAAAGGATGCAAGGATTGCACAAGGCCTAATTGTCCATCATGCTACTGAAGTTGAAACGATGTCAGACGAAGTCGCGTTCGCCCAATGTCTTGGTTTGCTGCATTGACGTTGTACAAAAACAGACATTTTCTGCACGAGCAAAGCTCATATGATTGCCTCACACGACTTGACAACACGGCACGAGGCATGATCATACAAAGAAGTGAGACTACACGGGATGACACCACACGACACAGGCTTTCCGTCCGTATAAGGGCTCGCGTGTGTTCGGGCATGTTCGCGCGCGTTGTGGTGGAAACCCACATTGCGGCACTGTTGGGCATTGTTGCCTGTGGAAACTCCTGACATTCGCAGGGACCCTACCTACACCCCCAACTCTCAAAACGAGAGCCCTTCCCTCCAGTTACAAGCAAGATGTCCTCAGAGAGCCTTCAAACTATTCCACGTGCCCCTGAATCTCTCACTTCAGAACTCATAGTCTGGAAGCTTCACTGTGGGGAACCGGCTTTGGGCTCCCAGTCATGGCGCGCGCGCGCGCGCGCGCGCAATATAACGCGCGTGGGCGAGCACGCTCTCCTTTGTGGGACGCCGCTCAGGGCGGCAGCCGCAAGGGACAGCCAAAGAGCGCGGCTTGCCTTCGGGTGAAGCAAACTGGCTGGGTGGGCCGGATTTTTGAGTGGGGCGTTGAGCATGTTTCGGGGTTTTGCTGTTTGGTGACTTCGGGGCTTCAGGGTCAAAAAAGGCTTGGCAACTACAAACCCAACCCAGAAGAACGAATGGAAGGCTTGAACGCAGATTACTTACTCATTCAGGGCTTTCACGGCTGATCAGGGGCATCTGGATGGGTATGTTAATCCAAGGCAAGCGGGTGAAGGCAAGTCAGAAGTTCACACTTGGGGCCACTTTCAGCCGAGACCTAAACCCCAACAAACCCTAAACCCCGAACCCTAAACCTACAAGCTCTGAATCCTCTTGCTGGAGTTTCGGGTCGTTGTGGATTCGGGGGTCCGAGGTGTTCAAGACTCAGGACGTTAGGGCTTAAGACTTCTGGAACGTTTACATAAAGGGTTTGGGGCTTCAGGCCTAGGCCCTGGGATGTTCCCCCTCATACTAACAGTCCTTAAGAGGAATTAGAATAGGGGGTACTCTAATCTCTATTAAGGACTGGTAGTATAAGGGGAATTTATCCGAACCTAGGCCCGCAAACTCGGAAATCCCAAGCCCTACCCTAATAGTGGGGTCGGAATAAAATTACTAATACTATCCCCTTATAGTCGCTTTATAATTATACTACAATCACCCCAAAACCCGATTCCAACTATTCAGGCCCCTCCCCCCTAAACCCTAAACCCTGAACCCTGAACCCTGAACCCTGAACCCTGAACCCTGAACCCTGAACCCTGAACCCTCAACCCTCAACCCTAAACCCTAAACCCTAAAACCCTAAACCCTAAACCCTAAACCCTAAACCCTAAACCCTAAACCCGAAACCCTAAACCCTAAACCCTAAACCCTACAGGTGTCCTCTTCGAGGTCGACGCAGCCAGAGATCGGAATCTCGCGAGGCCGGGCGCCCAGGCGGGAACAGACATCACCAAGGCCTGGGTCGCTCTGTCAAGGTTTAGGGTTTAGGGTTTAGGGTTTAGGGTCTAGGGTCTGGGGTCTGGGGTCTAGGGTCTAGGGTCTAGGGTTTAGGGTTTAGGGCTTAGGGTTTAGGGTTTAGGGTTTAGTTAGGGCTTAGGGTTTTGGTTTTTGGTTCTTTGGTGTTGGGTTTTAGGTTATAGAACAAGATCTCAAGGTCTTAGTGTCTCGGGACGCAGTGGCATCTTGGCTTCCGGCGCAGCTGAGGGCCTGAACGCCTAGAAGGGGCCCTTCATCAAAACCCCTATATAACCCCTATAAATGCCTTATATAGTCCCTACATGCCTAAGTTAGCCCCTAAATGACCCCTAAATAACCCCTAAGGCCCCTCATAAGGGTCCCTCCTGTAGTCCCTTGCGACCACTCGGATCCAGGCCCGGAGACGGGAATTGTTGTGCTTGTTGAAGGTCGCATGGCGCCTGCATATGCGATTCAAGGTGGGCTTGGGATGAGCTGAACTGAAAAACTGGGTGAAAAACACTAGTTATTTGTTTCAATGATCCCACCGTATGACGCGCACTACACTTGAGTTTCTGCGGTAGGATTTTCTGTGGGCTTGTCTGGGGGTGGACACTCCAGAGATTTCTGGAACTTGTCAAGGGAGAGATGCGTACCCCACACCGAGCGTGGGGGGATCATGAACCAAGCCGTTTGTGGTTCTGCGCCGTTCACTAGCGGACTTCCTCAGGCGGTAGCAATTGGAAAAAACGAAGATTCGGTCCAGAGTGACCCTTGGGGGAGCGTGGCGCTTTTTGCTTTTCCGCGCCCGCCTGGGCCTGGGAGCAGTGGCAAAGCAAAAACAAAAACAAAAAACGACGTGCTTTAACGGAAATTCAGTACTTTCAGCCGTCCTAACCAGTCAATCTAGGAATAAGCAGCTGAACAAGCAAAATTCGCCAGTAACAGTCAGAAACATCAGGAATACCGAGTAATGATGACGGTGAACAAACAAGACAGAATATGATACGAGAGCCCTAAACCCTGAACCCGAAACCCTAAACCCTAAACCCCAAACCCCTAACCTTAATGGGCTAAGGCACCGGTACCGCGCGTGCGCTCGGATGTCGGAGCCGTCGTCGGTTGGTGCAAGGCCCCTCTTCCGCAGCGTGCCGACAAGCCTGTGGGGCCCAACATGCTCTTGAGGGCTTTTTGGGTTTAGGGTTTAGGGTTTAGGATTTAGGGTTTAGGGTTTAGGGTTTAGGGTTTCGGGTTTAGGGTTTAGGGTTTAGGGTTTAGGGTTTGGTGTTCCGTAGATTTCCAGCTGTTTGACATGCGGGCATATGTACTGTACAAGGCCTCGGGCTTCGCCTTCGAAGGCCTGAGGAGAGGATTGCAGAATGAAACTGCAGGCAATAGAAAGCACGAACCCAAACAACCCTGATTCTAGACTTAAAGCCCGACAACAGAACGAACACAATCCCCCCGAGTCTTGCCAAGCCATCAACTGAACCGCCACGCTGCTAAGGGGCTGATTGCAGCTGCCGCTAACCGGATGCCCGGTGCAGCGTAGGAATCGGAGCATGCAGCGCATGGTCTTGTAGTAGTTCCTGAGCCAACTCTGAGCCTGAAGCGCCCTAGTAAAAAAAAATGATCCCCCAAACCCCGTCGAAACCCCACCCCAACCCTTAAAACTCTAAAGCCCCCACCTCAAAACCCTCACAGAATCCTCCCAACCTTGACTTCGATACCCCGAAGACTCTGTTCTGAAAATAATCAAAGGTTTCACTTTGGATGTTCCCCCTTATGCTAACAGTCCTCAATAGGGATTATAATCGGGGGGTACTATAATTCCGACTCAGGACTGCTAGAAAAGCGGGAACATCCCAAGGTTTCCTTGCTGACACTTAGGTTCCGGAGCGGCTCTGAAGGGTTGCGCTGGATTGCAGGGCTTTCGGATGTGAGCATCGAGGGCTCTGGGCCAAGACGTCTTGCTGGCATGTGTTGGGCTGAGTACATACACTCCCTCAAACCTACCCCTGCAGCTTCACAAGGCTGGATTAGGGTGCCCGTTGCTGGGAAGCCCCACTGAGCCGGCCTAGGGTCTCTTGTCCCTTGTTCTGACGGCCAGGGACTGAGGATGTACTACTACAAGAGATCCTTGACTCTGCGACCAACTCTTGCAGCAAAACGTTGTTACCCTGAGACCGAAATCCTCAGCCTAGGCTTCCCAGGGGCAGATGAAGATGGTCCACGGACAGGTGAAGAACCCGAGGGTCGTTGGCTGTCTTCTTGAACACCTCAGTGCTGTAAGGTGAAGGGTGTGCTCGAGCTGAGCTTCTACGAGTACTGGCCGACATGTCGGGTGCTTGTGAGACAGCACCGCGCCACTAAATACTAAATGGATCGAAAGCGCTGCCCTAGCTTAGACCAGGCCTTGGAGATTCAGAGGCAATGCATTTCGTCGCTGTGATGATTGATTATCTTGAGGCCGCTTGACCACAGCCGGCTGCGAAGATAAGTAGGAAACCAAGCCAGCAGTTGCTATGTACCAGCTGGTTCTTCGTAGGGAATGAGGGAATGAGGACTATATATAGACCCTTTCAGGGATTGTATAGGGCCCTCATTCCCTCATTCCCTACTAAGAACCAGGGGGTGTACCCTGCTCTGCTGCAGACCCCTGTGAAGCAGGACGCCTTCGCCATCAGCTGCACTTCAGCACGAATGACCCGAGACGTGAGCCTCGGCTTGGGCTTAAGCTTAGTGTCAGGGTTTCGGGTTCAGGGTTTAGGGTTTAGGGATTAGGGTTTAGGGTTTAGGGTTTAGGGTTTAGGGTTTAGGTCTTATAGTTTGTGGTGTGCGGTTGGTGGTTTTTGGTTTAACTACCCCAAGCAAATTGCAAAGTCACACCGTCTGGAGGGACCCAATACCCTCCTAAAGAGTGCATCGAGACCTAGGCACCCTGCGGAAACACCCTTTTTCGGCGCATTTTTTCGGCAACGCTAAGTCGTCGAACTCGATCGCCGCGTTTAGTAAGGGACAAAGGGACAACTGAAAACCGTCAAGCCACATCAATGTGCAAAGCGCCCTAAGCACTATCATGTTGCACTCAGTTTAACACGGTTGCCCAGAATACTACGAAATTTCTTGAAAATGTTCTGCGGCCCTATTCCAGCTGCATCCGGAGCCCAGGAACCCTGCCGCAAGCACAAAATCCCCAAACCTTACATCCAGACAGCAGCCTAGACCCGAACCCCCTGCGCCTAAAGCCAAAACCTTCGCCTTTGCCTTACAGAAATCGAATTCTCTCAAGGACGCCAGGGAGCAAGACGCCTGCCTCGGGGGCCACAGCATTGAGCCTGTGCTGGTGCCGTGGAGCTTACCAAGCAGTTAGGGGCCCTCTTGGCCCCTTAAGAAACCCCCGGCCAAACGCAGCAACAGAAACTGAAGCCTGAACCCTAAACCCTAAACCCTAAACCCTAAACCCTAAACCCTAAACCCTAAACCCTGAAGAGCCTGCTTCTTCCAGCCCAAGGCGCAGGTCATAGAAGGTGCAGAGGCCCCTGCAGGCCGCCGGGAGGTCTTGCAGGCCTAGCCATTGGAGGGTGAGAAGAATCGAAACATTGAGATCCGATAGTTCGGCACTTGGAGGTTCAGAGTAAGTTATTATGACTCACTTTTCGCTGTACTTATCACCCAAGTCTAACCTTACTGGGGCACTTCTTCTGGTTCTGACTTGGGAGGTTTCCGAAGTTAGCAGTACCTTATTGGGGTCCTTATGATAAGGGAATCCTACTGTTTGGGGGTATAGAAAAGGGTCTCTTATTTTCGTAAACTCCCATGTTGAGATCCTTGAGGTGGGATTCGGGGGGGCCCTTGAAAGGGAACCCCTTCTCAACCGTCTTGTGACTATCTTAAACAGGGACCTTGTTGAGTGGGTCTATATCCCCAATGGTCCCACTAATCCTAAACCCTAAACCCTAAACCCCAAACCCCAAACCCTAAACCCACACCCTTTGAGTGACTTTGTTGGTGTGCGGGTCTAAGGCACCTAAAGGTTCGAGGGTTTGGGCTTGGCACTCAGACATCAAGTGATCCCCTATCCTAGTCATTTGGGGTTTCCGAAAATAGGGGGGGTACCTTTTTGGGGGGGGGTCTTTTTATTAAGGAGATTCTACTCTATTTTGGGAGCAAACGGGGTACCCCTATTGAAAAAAACCGGAAAGAAGAAGGCAGCAAGGGCGCTGCGCAAGCTGAGCTCTTCGGCGTTCAGCGCCAGGCTGGTCACGGTGTGCCAGGCAGGGTTCTCGTGGAAGACGCTCTGGATGCCTAGGTGTTTGGGTGGCTGTTATTGAGGAGGGTGTTTAGGCCGATTCGGAGTTTAGGGGTTTAGGGGTTTAGGGTCGGGCTTAGGCATTGAGTGCTGAACATGTGGTGGGGGTCAGCGGTATGGAAGGAAAGGATGCGCACGCAGTTGACCTTGGAGGGGGCACTTCACCGTTTGAACATGCTGGTTCTCTGCCGATCTTTCATGCCGACCGAGACATGTGAGGAATTCATGATCTTTGCGACATCAGAAGTCTGCACCTTGAGCTCGGAATTGGCAAACCTACATGAACTTGACTTTATGGTCTGACCACATTGTTAGACAGATGAGATGCCGGATAGGTACCGGAAGTAGCTGACGATCCACCGCGCTGGGTCGCGATACCTTGGCAAAAGCTTCGCATAGGCGCTGAACCCTACAAAACCTGTATAGCCAACTCCAAAGCCTGCTGGCCACCAATTCTGGACCCGGTGGAGCAGTCTCTGGGGGAGGAGCACTCTCAATCGAACAAATTGCCGAGGCCTTGGGCTGTCGGAGTATGGGTAGCGCAAAGCAGGTCCCCACCTTTAATCCCCCTCCCCCTCCCGGTCTGGAAACATTCTGACCCCTCGCGAGCTCTCCCCGGCAAAGCTCTTTGGGCTCAGCAGGAGGCCCTGCTCTTCTATGCCCAAGCAGGGCTCCAGCTCGCCGATGACTCAGATGAATCTCACAAATCATGTCCGGCAACTACAATCTCAGGGGCTCGACTCGGGCCCCAGCCCATGCTGATCCACACTCCACCCTGATAATTGTTCAACCCGGTCGTGCCCCCCCAGAGCCCGGTACATGGAAGTCTCGCTCATTGTTCAAACTCTAAAGTGCTCTAGTTTGCCTGAAAATGCGGCCCAATTTGTGAGCCTTCAATCTTTCACTTTAGCTGATCCCAAAAGCGGAGCTCCTAAAGATTGAACGGGGTGGAGTGCTTCCAAGGCTTTTTGTGGGCTATCCTCCGCCTGAGCCGAAGCGGCCGGATAAAGGGAAGTTTCCAAGGTGGGGTGTGGGGCTCGGGCTTGGATCGGATGCTTGGCTGAAGGAGTCCGAAGTTCTAAATCTGTAAGCCCTGCACTCCGTGCCCCGAAGCAGCTTCGGGTGCGTTGAATTATTGGGCTTCAGCTGCCAGGGCACATGTGGACCATGCGCGAGTTCGCCGGCATGGGCCGTATCACGGCGGAGGTCGGCCCGTGCGTTGAGACACGGATGACGTGGGGCTTGGACCACGGCAGGATGTGGATCCGCCGCAACTTGCCTTCAAGGTCAGGAGTCACGGCAGGCAGAGCAAGGTCACCGACATTATATAACCTTGATTAAGGTACCTAAATCACCTATCACCCTACATAAGCTGCCCAACCTTCAAGTAGCTGCAGCTGTTTTGTAGGCCCCATCGGACAATGGAAGCACACGATCCTCGCCCTAGAACAGTAAGCATGCTGAAGCCTCCCCCCCCAATCCCCCAAAAGCCTCCAAACCCAGAATGCCCCCAAACCGCGTTCATCTCAACCCACTCCAGAAGACAAAAGGGTTCCAACGATCATCGCCCATGCTGCAGTACGGCTTGACCACTGGAAGTCTGGAGATCCTTACGATCGGGCTCAGGATTGGGTCTGCGGCCGGATTTTGTTTGGAAAGTTTGGGGATGTTTGGGGTATCTGGATTTATGGCTTGAGTGGGGTTTGGTCAGAGTTGTTGTGGTTGCAAGCACCCTAGACCCTAAACGCCCGCGTGCTTCCATTTCTCTTGAACAGCCCGCACTTAAGAGGCGTCGCAAACAGGGCCACAGCATGTCACAGAGAACTGGTTTGGTCAAGGGTTCAGAGTTCAGGGTTTAGGGTTCAGGGTATAGGGTATAATTAGGGATTAGGGATGAGGGATGAGGGATTAGGGTTTAGGGTTTAGGGTTTAGGGTTGGGTTCGGCCGGTCCACACTAACAGTCAAATAACGCCGTGGCCTTATAACACACAGGCCAAAAATAGCACCAGGAATCCCAGTCAATTTTAGCATTTACCGGGTGCTTCTTTTTGTGGGTCTGCTGGTGGTGACTGTTAGTCACATAGCAGCAGAAATAGCACCAGAAATAGCACAAACAATAGCACAAAAAATAGCACCAGAAATAGCGCCAGAATAGCACAAAAAAATAGCACCAGAAATAGCAAAAAATAGCACCAGAAATAGCACCAGGAATCCCAGTCAATTTTAGCAGCTTAGCATTTACCGGGTGCTGTTTTTTGTGGGTCTGCTGATGGTGATTGTTAGTCACATAGCACCAGCAACAGCACCAGAAATAGCACCAGAAATAGCACAAACAATAGCACAAAAAATAGCACCAGAAATAGCACAAACAATAGCACAAAAAATAGCACCAGAAATAGCACCAGGAATAGCACAAAAAAATGCACCAGAAATAGCACCAGAATAGCACCAGGAATAGCACCAGGAATAGCAGGAATCTCAGTCAATTTTTTGGCATTTACCGGGTGCTTTTATTTGTGGGTCTGCTGGTGGTGACTGTTAGTGTGGACCGGCCGAACCCAAGTTTAGGGTTTAGGGTTTAGGGTTTAGCGGCTTATCATCTCCAGCGGTTGGATGCTTTCCTTGGTCTGGGCTCAAGGTGGTCGGGACTTCCGAAAGTCCGAACCGTTGCGAGCATGAACCGTCTCCAGAACAAACCCTGAACCCTAAACCCTAAACCCTAAACCCTAAACCCTAAGCCCTAAACCCTAAACCCCTAAACCCTAAACCCTAAACCCTAAGCCCTAAGCCCTAAGCCCTAAACCCTAAACCCTAAACCCTAAACCCTAAACCCTAAATCCTAAACCCTAAACCCTGACTGTTTTCTGGACTTCACATGAACTTCTCCGGGTCGCTGTGGCAGCTGCAAACGCCTGGACAAGACCTCCCTGGTACTCCAGCAGCCTGACTGAACATGCTCATGGGTGGCTACAGATACCGCAACGAAGGACGAAATTTATCTTGCAGCTTACTGAAACATGTCCTTATCTACCAATGAGCAAGAGCGCAAGATGGGGTGACAAGAAGTATTCTTTTGTGTCGTGGTCGGAGGTTTTGAGGATTCTCAGTTTCGTGTCTTGGCCTCCAAGAAATGTCATAAACTCCAAACTCCCATCGAGACATGAAACGGGGAGAGACCCCAACCTCGAACCATTAAACCCAGACTCCTCAACACTCTCACAGGGTAGGGGCTTTAGCGTTTCACCCGAAGCCCTAGACCCCAAACACCCACTCCTGAACTCCCACAACTGTCCACGCAAGACGGGCCGCCCTTGTGGCCGAGGTGGGGCCCAGAGACCTGCCAGGCGCGCTCCGGTTGTAGGGATGAGATTAGGGCTGTGTAGGAGCTGCACTCGAAGAGCCATGAATCCCCAAAGGCCTGGGAGAGGAAGAACCTCACGAAGTTCCGGCCCGTCTTGCTGTACACCTCGGCTCTGGGAGTTGAGAAGTTTAGGACTTAGGGTTTTAGGGTTTTAGGGTTTTAGGGTTTTAGGGTTTTAGGGTTTTAGGGTTTTAGGGTTTTAGGGTTTTAGGGTTTTAGGGTTTTAGGGTTTTAGGGTTTTAGGGTTTTAGGGTTTTAGGGTTTTAGGGTTTTAGGGTTGTAGGGTGTTAGGGTTTTAGGGTTTTAGGGTTTTAGGGTTTTAGGGTTTTAGGGTTTTAGGGTTTTAGGGTTTTAGGGTTTTAGGGTTTTAGGGTTTTAGGGTTTTAGGGTTTTAGGGTTTTAGGGTTTTAGGGTTTTAGGGTATTAGGGTTTTAGGGTTTTAGGGTTTTAGGGTTTTAGGGTTTTAGGGTTTTAGGGTTTTAGGGTTTTAGGGTTTTCGGGTTTTAGGGTTTTAGGGTTTTAGGGTTTTAGGGTTTTAGGGTTTTAGGGTTTTAGGGTTTTAGGGTTTTAGGGTTTTAGGGTTTTAGGGTTTTAGGTTTACTTTTCCCGGTGTTCTTTCGAGGGTTCGGGAGCTGAGGCCGAGAAAAGCTGGAAGTCGGGGGCGCCCCGTTAAGCCCTCATCTCTTAGGGGCTGAACACCCTAGCCCCCCCAAAAAAAAGTGCTAACCTGTTATTTGTAATAGGATGATATGGCATCCAAGCAGGCTAAAGGTTAACCACCCGGCCACTAAGATCTGCAGGAGCCTGCACATCCCGCCACACCCCGAGCCCCCGAGGCTGGTGACAAAGCCCCCACCGACAAACACAAAGGCTTCAGGGCTTCAGGGCTTCCTCCTTGCGACTTAGGCTCAGGGTTTGGCTGTTTGGCTTAAACCCTAACCCCTAAACCCGAAACCCTAAACCCTAAACCCTGACACCCTAAACCCTACACCCTAAACCCTAAACCCTAAACCCTAAACCCTAAACCACCAAACCCTAAACCCTGAACCCTGAACCCTGAACCCTGAGTAAACCCTAAACCCTAAGATAGGGTTGAGGAAATACGCGCTTCGGGCTTTAAGGCGGGGCACCAGGAATGACACGGCCAGCTGCCGTTCATCACGCGGCCTTCGCCAAGACTCCTGCGCAGAGGACCCCACATTTCCGAGGAACGGCCCTTCAAAACCCTCTGAATAATACTTAGGGTGTAGGGTTTACGGTTCAGGGAAAATATTCCTGAATATGGTCCTTATTAACCCAAGAAGGGAAAATGTAAGATGTCCCAAGGGCCTACCGAGCGTTTCTTCCCTCAAGGCTTTTGTTGGGCCTGGAGAACTGAGGCTTCAGGGGCTCTCTGACCTCAGTGAGGTGTTGCGAAGTGAGCGAAAAACAGGAGAAGCTTGTCCGCTAGACCGCCCAAAGCCTACCCTACTGGAACCCTAAGCCCTAATTATGGGGTTTAGGGTTTAGGGTTTAGGGTTCAGGGTTTAGGGTTTAGGGTTTGGGGTTTAGGGTTTAGGGTTTAGTTTGGGGTTTGGGGTTTAGGGTTTAGGGTTTAAGATGTCGACCCTTTGCTTGGAGGCACGACTCCCGAAGATCCCCAGGGAGAAAGCACACCATGCCCCAATCAGCTTAGCTGAGTGCTTCGGATTTAAAGAGCATCAGTGCGACCCCCAAAAAGCCCGGAGGGTTGGAGGGTCTGAGAACTTTAAGGTTTAGGGCGTAATTATCTTTTAGGTGTTTTAAGGTGTAGATAGGAAGCCCACGTTGCCCACGGCTCCTGCTTGATGTCGGCAGGAAGGTCGATCAGCGACTGCCTCTGACGTCGCCGTCTTGCGACTGCAACCCTGAAGCCGTGCCGGCGAACCAAACCCCCTGAGCGCTACGAAAGCCAGTGCCTGCGCATCTTCGGTCAAAAAAGATATCAGCGAAGCCACGGACACCAATACAAGACTTCAAAGTCCCCCCCCAAAGTCACGAAGACTCTTCTTGCAGGAGAAGTGAGTCAACCCTCGGGTTGGAGGTTTGGGTCAAGTCTATGCTTTTGCAAACGGTGCTGTACAAATGGGGCTGCCCCACATGAAGCGTTAGCATTAGCAATTCAGCTGCGGAGATGCTGAGTGATCTTTGCCAGGAGGGGGTCCACATTGATATGGTCCTGGTCCACGAGGATCAGCTAAGAATGATTGGGACACCTATGCGAGGTGACTAGGGCGCCGTAGGGCACAGCATAGCAGCCTAAAGCACTCCTCGAATGCTGGGGGGCAGCTTGTGGCATGGACCAGGTTCCCACAGTATTTCAGGACCGTTGAATGGCAGGATAAGTTTTGCAGATGCGGGCTGTGAAGGGGCTCTAAAAAACGAAATTGAACCCCAAAGCTCTGTACCACACAGCTTTTGGGATTCAATTAAACAGAAGCCCCGGGTCCTGCCAGGCTCGCTGCCTCAGCTCCGAGGCCCACCGGAAGCAGGGTCCGCAGCGCTGGAAGCGTGCCTGTGCGAGGGGCTCGAGGATTTGCGGGGAGGATTTGGGGGAGGATTTGGGAGTCCAGAGATCCCACAACCCCTGGAACCGTCGAGCCCCATGGCTTCTCCAAGAACCGGGGAATATTCAAAGAAACATGAGAACTCGTAAGGATGCCAGAAAATAGGTTCAAATCTTGGCCAAGCTGAACCCTTAACCCCCAACCGCTTCTGCTGGCGCACCTTGGTTGGGACCAAGCCGAAAGGCGTCGGCCCGTGGATGCACCAGGCCGTCTGGTTGCAGCCTGCGGATGGGTGTGGGGCTTAGGGGCTTAGATTCTGCAGATGGTCTAGATGGCTGAGGTGTTCAGAGATTGTATTTAGGTTCGGGTTCAAGGAGTTTTGCACTATTACAAGCTTCGGCCGGATCCAGAAATCGCCCCAAACCGCAGCACATCTGAGCCCTTAACTCAGCCCCCCCAGATGCCAAGACCCCTTCACCCTCAACCCCTGAACCCCAAACCCCCCCCCCCCTTTTACTACAACGAAAGCCCTCAACCCCAAAAGCCGCCCCTTCCCCCCCCCCCCCCCCCCCCCAAGACCGTATAATTTCTCGTCATTCCATGCAGCTCCGGAGCTGCCGCTCGCCCAGTCCACGCAACTCTGCCAGGCGCAGCCAAGGCTGACCCTGGTGCGGCCCTGGCATTCCACCTTTGCGGGAGCATGGGGGGGGGGGGGGCTCTCAAGGGGCATTGAGGGCTTAGAAGGCTTTCCATGGGGACTTCTCATGCTGACAGTATAAGGACTCAAGGCGGCGTATATCCAGCTCGGGGATGGGCTTTGGTTCAGGGCTTCTTTGGCCGTTCCTTCGGGCTTTTGGTTTTGAGTAGGACTTGCATGCAGGGCTGCGGACGGCTTAGGGTTTTAGGATGCATGGAGATAATCTGGTGGAATTGAGGCTAATTGCAGGGGAGATGCGTGGCCTTCCAGACATTTGTTACTGTCGCGGTGGCCCTTCTTTGGCGCTCGGCCGGCAGAATACTTGTGGGGTGAAGGTTCAGAATTTAGGGCTGCTGACTGTTGGGGGCTGAGTGCTTGCGAAAGTTTATGCTCCAGGCACAGAAACCCTGCATCCTGCTGACCGGTCCCCTAAACCGTAAACTCAAAAACTGACCTCTTCCACCGCCTGAGGTTCGTCGGGCGCCGGCCCGCACTGCCAGAGCTTCCGCGATATCCCGCTGAGCTCGACGCGCTGACCTGGACAGGAATTCTCTGGTTGGCACACGTTTTGTCAAGCCCTCCCCCCTCCCCGAAAGGCCTTGCCAGCCGGAGCAGGAAGTTCCTGGGGCGGCACGAGGAGACGCTCAAACTCTTTGAGCTCTCAAGGGTCGACGTGTTGCAAGCCTTGAAAGCCACGGGTAAGCCCCTCAAACCCCCAGGTGAAACCAGCCGCGTGCCCAGTAGCTTGGGGCTCAGGGTTTAGGGCTCAGGGTTCAGGGTTTAGGGTTTAGGGTTTTTCGGCGGGGTTTGGGGCTCAGAAGAAAGTGAAAAATCCCAGGCTTTGCCGGACGGGCTTGAAGACACATACCAGGGCAGTCCGTCTGTTTGTTGCGACGCGAAGCAGGAGGCAGCAAGTGCTGGTAAGGAGCTCTGAGTCTCAGGGTTTAGGGTTTAGGGTTTAGGGTTTAGGGTTTAGGGTTTAGGGTTTAGGGTTTAGGGTTTAGGGTTTCGGGTTTGGGGTTTGGGGTTTGGGGTTTGGGGTTTAGGGTCTAGGTTTTGGGAAACACCGTATGATCAACCTCCAACACCCTTTTCCCTCCAGAGATCAGGATGACACGGATTGCCAGCCAAGAGGCGGCACACCTCCACCACGGCCTCGCGCATGTGACTCAGGCCGTTCAGTGCCATGGCATCGCACACCTGCATGCCTGGACTCTTCTGGCACACGAGGCCCACAAGATGATGGGGAGAAGGTTTGGGATGTTGATGTCCATGGTCACACATCCCTCTTCTGGTAAGCCACCCTTGGCTGGCCCTGCTGACCTCTGAAACCCTCTTGAACGGGGAACAGCTATCATAGCCAAAAAAGCCCAGCGACATGGATCCTCACCGGCGGAGGCTCCCAAAGCGGTGCAGAGCATCAATGCTCGCATCCGGGGAGGGCGAGGGCTAAACCAGTGGTTGCTGGGGCTTTGGGGATCGAGTGCTGGTGCGCTAGGGGCTCTGCAGAAAGGACCTTCGCAGACATATCCCTCAAGAAACGACGCTGTATTTGCGTGAAAGCTTTGGGCCTCGGGGCTTCATCGTTGCAGGATTTCTATGGTTCAAGCCCACACGGCATCCGAAAGGGCTGCGCCGTAGAAGAGTAATTCACTTGAAAGAGGGCGGAAGTTGGCGATTGTCCCGTAGGGTGTAGAAATGGGGTTTATGGCTTGGGGCTTTTGCGGGCTTAGGTAGTCGGAGGGTAGGATCTAGGGTTTAGGGCTTCGGGTTTAGGGCTTAGGGTTTTGGGCTTAGGATCTGTCAGGTGCGGCCTCACAGCCGGCATGAGAAACACCTGAAAGTTTCAGGGTTCAGGCGGTATAAAGTGTAGAGCCGAAGATTCAACGTGGTTAACGGGCCCAACAAGTCCCTGAACAGATCAACAGATCTCACGAGTCTCACGCAGTGTCTCATACGTCCTCAAGCA